AAATTCTCTCTCTCTCTCTCTCTCTCTCTCTCTCTCTCTCTCTCCTCTCTCACTCTTTAAAAAAAAAAAAAGAAAATTAAACTATGAACATAACCACTTCGGAGAACATCAAGTATATCACAATAAACTACACAATAATGGCAATCTTTACATTTTTAGACCCTTGTTTTATGGGCCTATTAATTATTAATATGACACTGATTAATTTATGTCCAGCATTTAAATTGCAGTGATAGATGAACAATAACACAAAGGTTATAAAGAATAGTCATTTGTGTATGTGTTTGTATATTTGTTTTCCTTATTAGTTTTCAAATGTATTTTAACTTCTTTTTCTCCCTTTCCAAGTCAAATTCTATCAACTTTGGTCATAGTTAATATAGAGGAATGGTACACTGTCATTGGTAAATTGTTTTTAAAGATAATTTATTAAATTAATGTAGCAGTTTACCTCAATGCAACCTTCACTTTCTGGGCTTAGATGTTCTTCTACTGATGTAAAAAATGGAGATATCTTCTTGAGAACTACATAATTTTAATAAAGAAACGAAAATATCCCTAATTCAAAGCACTGACCTACATTAACATTAATTTTCTAGACACTCATATATTCACCTTGATTATATTACTTCTAGTTATTGAAACAGGACCGGATTGCTTACAAGTGAAGAGAATTCYAACTGGTGCCCAAGGGGAAAACTTTGCACAAATCTTTACATTTTGCCCCAAATCTATCCAAATCTTTACAAAGTGCAACACGCAAATTTAGCTAAATATTTAAGTTTTGCATTTATATTATACACTGATACAAAGATATAGGTATAGATTCCAGAAAGATCTCTCCCAGTCTCCAAAAGACCAGATGAGATATCAGCCATGTTTGGCAAAGTCTAGTTTTCCTATAAATGACATCCAATTAATTTATTGGTCTATTTCAAGTGTTTCACATTATCCTCAAAACACACATTTCTCAGGATATTCTATAATTTGTCTGAAGTGGGAGAAAGAGTCACAGAAGGAAATTTCTATTCCCCCATCTCTATCATTTTGGTTAATAAGAACTGCGAAGGTTGGAATGATATTTAAAAGGAAATTGGAGTCAAGTTCCTCTAAGGAAGAGTACTGATAATCTTATTAACTCCAGTATTCATTTATTAAACAAATATTAATTTTTTGGTTATGCATAAAATTTGTGGAGAAGGAACCGAGAGATAATGAAATCTTCCAGATCCATATGCTTGGCCTGTGGGAGTACATTTATTACCTGCTGTGATGTCACTGGGTAATTTTCCCTGCCGGAGGAGACTCAGCTTAAGTTTTCCATCACTAAGCAAGAGGAGAAGACCCCCTGAAACCAGCTGGAGTTCACTGAAGAGCAGAAGTCCGGCCTTATTCCATGTTCGAAATTGAAAACTGGCTGAAATTTCCTCCTCTCTGGGAGAGGCGGGCAGAGCTAAGTAACTCCTGGAGCTCAGAAAAGTCAGAGGCACCCACTGTGGTTGTGAACAGGAAAATGACACATTTCCCTGAGGACAAAGTAGAAGAAAAATCTTTCAGCATGTTTTACATATTCCATTAGTAATAGAATTTGAAATAAGCATGAAGACTGCTTATCAATTGTACATTATCCTCAATTTAAACCAACAAACTGCCAACACCATGAAAATCCAGGTCCTAGCCATATACTTTAAGGTTCTTCAACCACTTTCTCTGGTCTTATCCCCATTTCTCAAATTTAATATAGATTTGAAAAGTCCCTGAAACTAACTTTACTTAGAAAATACATGTTGGAAGGAAAACATTCAGTCTTGGTCAAATAAAATCGTTAAACTATATTGATTCTGTTAAGAGTGAATTAACTTCCATTTGTAAAGATCTRTCATGTTCCCATGAACAAAATAACAAAAGCTAAAGAGCAAACAATGCTAACTTTTATGCTAAACCATAATGTAAATGCAGTTATAAGACAATCAAACTCAGGGAAAATGGAAAATGTTATCCACTGGACTTGGTCTCAGGCTTCAATTAACCTGCAAGCAACACACCCTTTTGCCAGTAAAAAGTGGGGTTTCCTTACATGAGCATTTTCTGAAAAATTAAGCTTTGAATGAAACATATATTTATTTTTTATTTCTCCTTTAAATTATTTTCTCTTTTATTAAAAACAACTACTTTAAAATCTTAGTTGAATGTTAAGATCCTATAAACACCACCAATTCACAATTAGGAATAAAATAATTCAATTAGGAATAAAATATTTTTTCAGTAATATTCTTGTAACGTGCTTTGGGATTTGCTGATGCAACATGAGCTTCAATTTACAGATACTAAATTTTAAACAATGCAAGAAATTATGTGTTATCAAATGGGTAAAGCTGGAAACCATCCCCCCCACACACACACACACACAATTTCTTTCCTTCCCTGGGTAAAACATGCTTAAAAAGGTGGCTTGGGTGATATTTGACAGTTAAAAGTAAAACACCAGCCATTTGACTCCAAGGGATTTTTTTTTTTTTTTTGTGATCATGCATATGAAGGATGAGAACAGAAATGCTGGTTTATCCACTCTCCCTGTTCTCTTCCACCAAGTACTACCTCCTCCTCCCAAAGGCTGGCACCAAGTGAGCAACTCCAGCCCAGCCCACCCTCCAGCCCAGTGCTTGGCTGGGGACCTACCAAATTAGTGGCTACCCAGAGACAACTGCCAGAGACCCCTCTTCAGAAAGCCTCCCCACAGGCTGAAAATGCTCTACAAAGTCCAACATGTCTGTATACAGTATGGCTGGAGGCAGAATTAGTGGCTTCTGTGATCTTCTACCTTCCCCTGCCAGGACTTCAACTTCCAAGCTCCTCTGACAATTGCTAAGATCCAAGTTCTAAGATAGATCCTTGGGTTCATAATACTCACTCTTGTGCTGCTTCCCTGACTAATCCCTGACCAACAGTTAGATTTAAATTTTGCTACTGGTGCACTGAATTAGAACATAATACAGCCTGAGCAATAGTACTATTTGCAAAGACTGGTTGATGCAATGTTGCAAAAGCCACATGTTGTTGTCGTTGTTTTATAATCTGTATGGATAACTATGGAAAAATACAAGCTTTTCCAATGTCTCTCTAATATACATGGCTGTTATCTGATTTCAGAAACTCCCTATGCTCATCTATTGAGTTGGTCAAGGAGAATCCTATTGAGGCAATTGCAGAGCAAAAGAAATTATTCTCCTAGGAGCAATAAGATCACAACTAAATCAAAATATTCACTGTTAAAAAAACTGCTTTACTTCACATAAAAATAAAAATTATGTGTTGTGAATTACAATTCCTTTAAATAGAATTAATACTTTATATTCATATTGCCAGAGAAGAAAATTAAATAAAAGCAATCTTGGAAATATTGCATTGACTGGGAACCTACAATGGAGTAGTTTTATTGCAGAAAAGACTTTCTGTTTACTCATTCCTTCATGAAGTCTCTTACCGTGCTGATGATCTGTGGGTTTTGTTGCTTGGCCAAACCAATGATGTCAACTCCATTATAATAGAGATTTTCTAAACATCCATGAAAATTTTTATATTGGAATGACACTGATTTTTCAGGTGCTGGAATCCCTCCAAAGCTGATCTTAGAAAGAAAAATGGCATCAATAATATTGTTTAGTGATTTATGATAATCTGCTTAAATGATTATGATTAGCAACTATAGCTGCAAGGCCGAGGTACAGATCAAGTTTTCATCATCCTGCATCAAAAAATATTCARATACAGATTTTAAAGCAAATTTATATGCATTCAGTCCTTATTCACACTAGATCTTGATTATTCCAACAAATTGTTAATCACACCTGGTTTTTATATTTATCACTTGATGAGGAAAATCATATCTTTATATCCATCACAAAACTTGATCTGTTAATAATGTTACTAATTGTGACATTTTATTTTGTATACATTTCTAGCACACATTTGATATTTGTGTATTTGAATCAATTGTTAATGAGTTAATCAATCTTTTTGTTGTCTTAATCTTTTGGATACACCCCCATCACCCCATAAATCTATGCTTTGCTTAGGAGTAGCCTAAACCATAAAGAAATCATACAACACATATTTGCTTTTGGTAATGAGATCTCATCATGTGGGAAATTTCCTCCCTATGCAGAGTATTTCAGGGTGATTCTGCACCCTGATAATAAATTAACACACTGCAGGGAATATGCAGCCTCCAGTACCCAAGCCCACCATTGAGTTAGGCCACTGTGGGAAGTATTTCACCAGCCAGGTGGATGTACTACACAGGTGGGTTCTCTATAGCACATTTTCTGTTGGGAAGCTAAATGACACATCGATAATAAAATCTGTATTAATTGAAATGTAACCATCACACCTCATAATCAAGATCCAGGTAATTGAATTCTCCCTGTGCATGGAAACGATGCCTATGCTCATCCACTGTAAAGTTGACCTGTTTGCCCAAACGCTGGATGAGCACAGAATGCCAATGCTGGTCATCCAGCAGGCTGCCCAGGGTGAGATTGATTGGCGCATGAGTGGAGGGCAGTTTAGCATCACCTTTGAAGAGGGAGAGACAACATACCATTATTCACAGTTAAAAGGAAAAAAAAATTCCCTTTTGTGCCCAGCATCTCTCACAATAATTGTAATGTCCTTACTGCGTCCCATCCCATAGACTAGTGTGAATTTACCTGAAGTTTGAGTACAACAGTCTCCCAACCTTGTAATTTCTTACACCGATAATTCTTTTTATTATTGTTACTCATTGCATGCTCATTTTCTATGTAAATTTTATCTTTGCTACAACCTCATTATTTTTACTACTGCAATATTTTTCAATGACCCGTCCCTTTCTTTTATGGTGCTAGAGAATAGTGATGAAATTCTATCTAGGGCTATGGAARAAATCATTCAGCAAGGATCTTATGCAATTTACAAAATGCGAACCATTTTAACATGACAGGGTAATAACTGGCAGATAGATAAGTCCTTGAATTGGAAAACAAAGCACCTTAAATGTTTTTTTAAAAAATAAGCCATAAAAGCATAAGGTTACTTAAGAAATAAGTAAATGATCAAATCTTCAAGAACAGCGCCAAATGTTTTACCTGAATTAATTAGTAAAAAGAGTTTTCCTCTTCTTAACTCCAGTGTGATATGGTCTCCACTTGGCCCTGCCCTGTGGAGTAGAATCCCATCACTCTGCATGGTTTTAAATTTCAAAGAAATAATATCTTTTATTGGGCTCAGGGATTTTTGATCAAATCGGTAGAGAAGGGAACTTTTTCCATCAAGATCAACCACCTCTGATCCTAGAGACAAAGATATTAAAAGTCATGGATAAATATATAAATAAGGATAAATATGCCCTCCATTAAAGCTTTTTAAGTGTATGTGTAATAATTATGACGATTGAATGCCTAATTCCTTCTTGAAACCCAGGATTGATTCCATTTTAGTCTTCACTGCTTCCAAAATTCATGGGGTAAAAATACATTTTAAACGTATACCTAATTTTCTCTTTAAAAATGAAAATTTGGAAAAAAAAGGTTATGATCAACATACATAAAATCACTTTGCATTTTCACAATCAGTATTTTTAACAATGCTTTTGAAATGTTGAAATCAGATGGGTTTTCTGGCTCTAGAAAAAAAGTGATTTTGATATCTCAAAATGCTTTTATCCATGTGCTATATAAAAAAGGATCCTCACAGAAATAAGCATACACTCTACACTTCCACCACTTCAACTGCATATTAAACTGACCTTTGTGTTTTTTATACATATTTTTCATGACTAAGTGAAAGTATTTAAGAGCAGTGCTATTTTCTGCTTTCTCAAGAGTATCGTTGGAAAGACATTAACTTAATGATATTGTGAGGTTTATTCTGCCGCATTTGTGTTATAACTGTGACACTGACATGTTGTTTCAGCTTTCTGACAATGTCTTACCAACTCATTGTCAAGATCGCTCTTACTCAATCCATCTGAAAAAAGATGTCATGTTATACTGGTAACATAACAGCACATCTGTCAGAATCGGTTGCCCCCTGAACAAGAGACGTAAAAAAGAATCCATAATACTCAGAGATCTAGCAGTGTTTTCTACATTTCATAAGTAGAAGATTTTTTTAAAATGCAATTACCCTTGAGAGTACATTTATGTAATAAATGAAGACATTAAAGAAGCCCAATAAAATATGAAGCTATTTTTCAACTGGTAAGCTGACTTCTTCCAGTCAACAAAATGACATTACAGCTTACTCATCTTGTTCCATTTGACAAAATTATGACAGCTACTCTTAGGCCCCAATATGCATTTTATTCTGATTATCCATCATATTTTATAAACCATTCATAAGTACCACCACCCTCAAATATTTTTTCCACTGCTTTATGCTGCTATCTTCTGAAAATTCAGGTTTGATTTTTTTTTCACTTCTTGCTAATGTGCTTATAAAGAATTCATTCACCAAGCACACATGAATAAACATTGCATTCTTTAGAAAGAATAATGTTAAGGGAACAATTATTCCTTGTTATATAGCTGGATGAATGTTCATGGTAAAAACATAATTCTGTGTCAAATACAAATAATGTGCTCCACAATTATTAGATTACAATAAATTAAGAAAATTTTCAATAAGACAGATTTTAAGTGCTCACACATTTGGAGCGATGCAGTTATCTCTGAGTTAATGTATTGCTTAAAGGCAACCATCATAGTCATGATTTTATTTTAGATAAAGACTGTTTGTGGAATTAGCTACTGAGAGATTTTTTTTTCCCCATAAAAAGTTTAGCCTATGTTACTTTAGTCRACTATTTCTTTTTTTTCTCTCTTTTTTTCACTATGGTTATTATTATGTTATAATGGTCCTATCCATCTTCCGAGGCATCTGAAGCTTTTGTGCCTGGATATTTTCATCAGCAAAATAAGGTAGCGAAAAGCATTTCAGGCAATGGATGCCTAAGGCAAAGGTGCTYAGCTTCCTCTCTTAAACTGAAGTCACTGGACATGTTCTTGCTTTCCACTCCCCAAGTGCATGAGTGTACAACTGGATAAATTCCTTCAGTGAAAAATATTTACACCAGCATGTTTGAGGCACTGTAAAGAGGCTGAGATAAAAGGGTAAGTACTGGACACCACCATGGATTCTGACCTCATGCARCTTATACTCAGGGAAGATGGACAACATTTAGCAAATGAACAAGGTCAGTTCACAGAACCACTGTGGATTGTAACTAGTGTTAAAATTAGAAAGACAGGGGCCATTTGTTAAGGTAAAGAGAAAAATCTTTTTCAGGCTCAGGTCTAGAAACCTGAGGCTAAGGAGGACAATCTACCTTGTCCTCCCCCTACTAGAAGACTTTTGAAACACTTGATTTTCAGAGGCCTAGACCTTCTCCCAACACAGTCCCATTCACTAGCATGAAAGAACACATGGAAGATTGCTGAAACCATAGATAGACTCAGAAGAAGGAGTGAAGTCGACTTCATTCAACAAAGAGACTTGAAAGGGAAGGAAAGAAGTACAGAAGTGGGGAATTTGAAACATGGCTACAATCACATCACAGATTTCACATGCAGGTAAACAATGCCCTTCAGGGGAAAAAAAGCTTATTTGCAATTGAGAGCATGAGTGCATTTGCAATGCAAGAAAAGGTCAAGTAGCATACATGTAATAGATGGATATGATTCTTATAAGAAAGATTCAGGATGATTCTTAACAGCATTACTTGAGACAAAATTGTCACTCATAACAGTTCACTTTTTAAAGTATCTCATTTAGAAAAAGTCATTTATACACAAGCATATCTAATATGTAAAAATATAATTTTAAAGCATCATCCCCAAAAACTAACTTGTGATACAGAAAGTACATGATGTAGAAATCTAGAACTACCTGTAAAAATCTCTTAAGAAAAAAATTAYTCTTTTGATCTTTGCAGAGAGCATTTGAATTCTATATATCATCAGTACCTAACTCTCCAAACTGCTGTCAGGAGAGATAGATGTATTATCTTGAAAGTGATTTTACCACCATTAAGAAAAAATCAGAAAAACTAGAAATAAAGGAACAAATCTGCTTCTTACCAATGTTAAACTGGAGCATTTTTAACAAACCAGTGTAAAGATTATTTAATTTTACATGAATTAGTAGCTTTCTGATTTTATAATTTATTACTGATTAAGGATAGATTCTATAAAGTTACACATTCATTTGTAGATTTTTTTCCCAGTAGAAATGCAAATGACTTCTATCTGCCAGAAAAAAAAATATCCTCAGAGGTTATGATTGGACATTAGTCACTTATGTATTTACCTATTAATATTATTCCAACATTCTTTCTAGGATTCCTAAGTATTCCTGAGTATATACTCATACTCATTTTTTTTTAACTAGAATTAACCTTCTTCTGATTCCTTCATTAGAGAATCAAAAGCATCTGTGATATGCATTTATTCTATATTTAAAGGATGATTGGTTTCACATTTCAGAAATTTTACTTTGCCATGAGTCATTGAGAAAGCACATTTGGACATTACATCATTGGCCAGGAAAGCCACATTTGAAGTCATGGCTGCAACTGGTACCATTCCAAGGAAATTTACTTTCTATTCCACAAAGATTTTCAGATTTAAGAATTCAAGAATTCTTGAACTGCCAAAGCAATTCTCCCAAGGGAATTTCAAGRTGATTCATCATTTTAAATTTAAACACCTATACAAGATCTAATATGAATATGTAGAAATAATAAGATTACTCTAACTCAAGCTTTATTTGTTTAGAAACACTAATCATCAAAAATAATATTTATATTTCAACTTGCAGTCAATGTCTATCATATTTATTCCTATCTYTTGCCAAATACCTTTGAGGAAAAACATCTTTGGAGTTGTATAAATAGGAAAAGTAGATGAATCAACTAAGTTAAAGAAATTTATAAGAATAAAAGTCCTGCAGTACAAAGATGTAGAAGAAGACTTCTTACCTGATTGGAGAGAAGAATGATTTTTCTTATTRTCAATKTGTTCATTAGCATGCTTTTTAACTGAGATAATATTTATAATAATTGGATTATTACCRAGATTAATAATGTGACTGTCATGCATTGGCTCATCATGGGGAGRGTACAACTCTAATTTCCTAGTAACAGGTTGCAAATTATTGTGATATAGCCACCTCTTTTYAGCCCAGCCTCCTTTTAAGCCATTTATAACAGTGTATATTGCCACTTTGCCTAATAGTGTAGCCAGTCTGTAWGAGTTTAAATCATTGTTCCATCTTGGGCAACTGTATGAAAAATGTTGTCACTTCAGAACCACAAATTTTATTAACATAATTCTRGAATTCAGAAGACCTAAAATCAAGGTGTTGGCACAAGCTGCTTCCCTTTCGGTATCTAAGAATTAATCATCCCTTTCGATGCCTTTTCTGCCTTCTAGAGATCACCTKCATGCTTTGGCTCATGGCCTCTTCCTCCAGGTGTTAGGCCAGTTTTGTGGCATCTTCAAATGTCTTTCATTCACATTCTCTCTCTCATTTCTGCATTTACAGTCACATGTCCTTCACTGACCCACCGACCTCCCTCTCAAAAGGACCCTTGGGATTGCATTGGGTCCACCTGAACATACCAGCATAATCTCCCCACTTAAGAACCTTCACTTAATTAAATTTGCTAACGGCCTCTTCCACGAAAGATAACATTGGTATTTCTTCTTCTTTGACGTGCCTGTTCAGTTCCTTTTCCCATTTATTGATTGGGTTATTCGGGTTTTTTTTTTTTTTTTGGGTGTTAAGTTTTTTGAGTTCTTTGTATATCCTGGAGTTTAATGCTCTGAGGGGCAGGTGGCAAAGATTTTCTCTCCTCATTCTGTAGGTTATCTCTTTGTGTTCTTGATTGTTTCCTTTGCTATGAAGAAGCTTTTTAGTTTGATGCCATCCCATTTATTGATCCTTGRTTTTACTKCTTGTGCTTGAGGAGTTTTATTGAGGAAGTCTGTTCCCGGGTCGAWAAGATGGAGAGTTGGGCCTCCTTTTTCTTTCAGTATGCRTGGGGTCTCTGGTCTAATGCCAAGGTCCTTGATCCATTTTGAGTTTTGTACAGGGTGAGATATAGGGGTTCAATTTCAATCTACTACATAGGGATTTCCAGTTTTCCCAGCACTATTTGTTGAAGAGGCTGTCTTTTCTCCCATATATGTTTATGGCACCTTGGTCTAGTAGGAGATAATTGTATTYATGTGGGTATGTTTCTGTGTCTTCTGTTCTGTTCCATGGGCCTTCAATTGTATTTTTGTGCAAA